AACCTCATAACTAGTCTCCTGGTGTAGCAAGAAGCTCTATTTTCCCAGGGAGTGTGGTAACAAGTCTCTTTACTAGAGTCATTGCAATTTTGTGGGGTTGGGAGGGGCTGTGTATTTGACTCTTGCAGATTGTTATATGGCCCACCCTTCAAAAAAATCTACATTCAAGTCCTTGGCTACGAGGAAGGAATCCCCCTCGTGTTCAGGCCTGTGGTATTTAATGCTTCCTTTGAAAAATAGCTTCAGTCTTTCATGAGTTGTCAGTTGTCCTTAATGCAGTGGCAGTAATTGTAGTTTTGTACTGCTTCATTGTATTTGGGGATAGTATTGTGTTGGTGGGGCTCTTTCTCTGCATTTTTTCAGTGTGCTGTGTCCTGTGCGCTTTCCGAGACATCAGGAACTCTGCTAACTCATTGTATGTACAAGTTTCCTTGCACATCACGTAAGATCATGAAATGTGTTCACATTTCTCTTAACACTCATTGTCTGGCTAAATGCCTCCATTAATTTCCTTTGCAGTTAGTTTCTATGCCTTGTATTGATAATACAATGAACTATCTGTAAAGGATTTTATTACTGCATAATAAATGCATAGCTTGTTGTGATTGAAGAGTTTTGGTATGCATTTGTTCTTTTCGGGGGTGCTCGTATGGGGGAGCTTTTCTTGTGCTTTTTCAGGTATGACTAAAGCTTGGAACTTTGAGCACGGATGTGACCTGGGCTCGAATGACATCCTTTTCAAAGTGGAAATTGAAGGCAGATAAGTTGAATCCATCAAATATTATTGTTGGAAGGCAGAAAATTCCAAACCCTAAAGGGGTCATCTATCTAAATGGGCTCAGCTGCCCTCATTCTTGAACAAAGCAACTTTCTGTACTTGACTAGAAATGGCACTGCTGTGCTTTCTCAACAAGAGTCTCTTGTGGTAATGGGAAGATTTGATGGACTGTCACTGATTCTGACATTATCTGCAGTAAAGCATTTGGGTAAGATAACAGTCAGTTCTACGATGCTGTTGTGGGTGGGCACGGGTTTTTTCTCTCCGTCTGCCTGTTTGCTCTTACAGAACAACCCAAAGAAGAATGCAGTCTACCTAGGACAACACAGGGAATCATCCTGCCCTTTGCCATGAGTCAACATGCAGTTTGTACAAATGGGAGTTGGTTTGTTTCAATTGATAGATTGGAACAGTTAGACTTCAGCTACTAGCCCTTGTGCAACTGTGCAGGTGGCAGGTTGGTTACATAATTGCCATCGTGCAAATGCACGAAGTTTTCCAAATTGAAGCAGCTGAAGAAAGCTGTACATGGTGCAGCTTTAATTTGGTCTAAAATGCAGCGCAAATGTGTTGCTTTAGTTTATATTATGCACTGTTTTGGTTGGGCGTATCTCTGCGCTTCTTTTCACAGAAATCTGATTGCAAGACTGGTACAGTACAAGCCCAAGAGAAGTTCTCTAACCCCGGAGCGTATAGTAAGATGTTGGCTTGACTTATCAAAATAAACCTGCAATGTGGTAGTTGACATAATGACATCTTGGAACTGGCTTTGTTAACCTCAAATCGGTAACAATGCTTTACTAGCATATTCCTCTCTGGCCTCAGGGCCCTTGCATCTTAACTCATAAGATGAGTAGAACTCAAATCTTTTGAGTATTATGTGGTGGGTTTGTTGTGTAGATCACTTTTGTTTCAGATCATTCTCGTCTGTCTGCTCCAATCTCGCCTGCCTCTGAATGCAAACCCATCTGTGGAAGCTGTCAGCGAATATGAGTGTGGGCCCCTGAATGAAGTACCAATCTCCTGTGCGCTTGAGCTTAGATCTGAACCCCTGGCGTCCTTCGCAGAAGCCGTTCTGTCTGTGTGTGTGCCTTTTTCTTTTCCCTTTGGTTTCTCAGGTCAATCTGCATAAACTGTCTATTTGTCTGGGATGGCCTAACCTGTGATGAAACATGAGAATCCAGTCACATTAAGATCAAGAGCTGCAAGCTTGTCTCGCTAATACTGCATCACTTCAGTGTCTTGGGTGCAAGTTAAGTAATTTCGGTTCACCTGATTTTCCTTTGACACATGGCTTTAATGTGAAACAACATGTTGCATGCACATCAGCTATGCATAACATTTTATTTGTACTAGTGTATAAAGTACAAACTTGGT